TGGGTGTGGTGTCGGGTGCTTGTATAGTATTTCTTTCATTTTTCTTTACAAGTCAAACTAGACACTACTATTGGAGAGCAATAAGCCTTATAGTGATAACAGTAAAGATGTAGCTGTAAGTTATGTGTTCAAGGTGCTATTAAATTTCTAACAATTGAGTCATACACTAAATGTTTGGAGACCACAAAATCATGTGTGAACCTCTTATGAATTGAGTACACCTCTCATCCTGGTCAGTCTCACCCATTCTCCTCTACATATATTGGCTGTTTCAGGACTCAGTGGCTTTTGAGGATGTGTCTGTGAACTTCAGCCAGGAGGAGTGGGCCCTGCTGGCTCCTTCACAGAAGAAACTCTACAGAGATGTGATGCAGGAAACATTCAAGAACCTGGCCTCTATAGGTAAGGATGACATCATTTTTTCCTTTTTTTTATTTTTATTTTATTTTTGAGATGGAGTCTTGCTCTGTTCCCCAGGCTGGAGTGCAGTGGTGCAACCTCAGCTCACTGCAACCTCTGCCGCCTGGGTTCAAGAGATTATCCTGCCTCAGCCTCCCAAGTAGCTGGGATTACAGGCACCTGCCACCACGCCCGGGTAATTTTTGAGTTTTTAGTACAGACCGGGTTTCACTATGTTGGCCAGGCTGGTCTCACTCCTGACCTCAGGTGATCCACCCGCCTTGGCCTCTCAAAGTGCTGGAATTATAGGCATGAGCCACCACACCCAGCTGACATCATTTTTCATATAGTCAATTAGAGAACTAGCATTTCTTGCTCATTATCACTATTCCAGGATTTGGAATCTGAAAAGGGAATACTTCAGTAAATAAACCAGGCATGGTTACAGCTTTTTTTTTTTTTTTTCCAGACCACTTAGGGAGATACAGCTTATTTTGAACCTAGAATCTAATAATATTTGTATGATTTTTAATAATTTATTATGATTATTCTGGATCTATACTTTAGGGAAAAAATGGGAAGACCAGAACGTTGAAGATCGGCACAAAAACCAGGGGAAAAATCTAAGGTGAGTTGCACTCACAAGAGATAGCAGTGTTCCTTGAAAGAATCTTAAAAATGTCAGGACACTTTTAAAACAAGAAATAAGCTCAGCTCCAACTGTATTTATTTATTTATTTTTGTTATTATTTTTTCTTGAGAGGGAGTTTTGCTCTGTTGCTCAGGCTGGAGTGCAGTGGTATGATCTCAGCTCACTGCAGCCTCCACCTCCCAGGTTCAAGTGATTCTCCTGCCGCAGCCTCCTGAGTAGCTGGGATCGCAGGCATGGGCCACCACCCCCAGCTAATTTTTATGTTTTTAGTAGAGACAGGGTTTTGCTATGTTGGCCAAGCTGATCTCAAATTCCTGACCTCAGATGATTCACCTGCCTCAGCCTCCCACAGTGCTGGGATTACAGGTGTAAGTCACCGAGTCCCAAATTTATTTATTTTCAGAAAATGTTTAACAAAATTGTTTTCTCAAGTGACACAGATGTCCACTGATTGAAAAATACTGTACTTGGGCTGGGCACTGTGGCTCATGCTTATAATCCCAGCACTTTGGGAGGCTGAAGCGAGTAGATCACGAGGTCAGGAGTTTGAGACCAGCCTGGCCAACATAGTGAAACCCTGTCTCTACTAAAAATACAAAAATTAGCTGGGCATGGTGGCACACACCTATAATCCTAGCTACTCAGGAGGCTAAGGCAGGAGGATCACTTGAACCTGGGAGGCAGACGTTGCAATGAGCCAAGACTGCACCACTGCACTGCAGCCTGCACAACAGAGCGAAACTCCATTTCAAAAAAAAAGAAAGAAAGAAAAATATTGTCCTTGGAAACAGTTTTTGTTTGTTCATTTATTTTGTGAGAGTCTCACTCTGTCACCCAGCTGGAGTGCAGTGGTGTGATCTCATCTCACTGTAACCTTTATGCCCTGGGTTCAAGCAATTCTCCTGCCTCAGCCTCCTGAGTAGCTGGGATTATAGGTGCACACGACTACACCAGGCTAATTTTTGTATTTTTTGGTAGAGACGGGGTTTCACCGTGTTGGCCAGGCTAGTCTCAAACTCCTGAGCCCAAGTGATCCACCCCTCTGAGCCTCCCAAAGTGCTGGGATTACAGGCATGAGCTACCATGCCCAGCCTTGGAAACAGTATTTTAAAGCCTCATATATAACTTTAGGACGCCAACGTAGGCAGATCATTTGAGCTCAGGAGTTCGAAACCAGCCTGGGCAACAAGACAAAACCCTATCTCTACAAGAAATAGAAAAATCAATTGGTCATGGTGATGCACACCTGTAGTCCCAGCTACATGGGAGGCTGAGGTGGAAGGATGGATTGAGCCCAGGAGATCAAGCCTGCAGTGAGCCGTGATTCCATCACTGTACTCCAGTCTGGGCGACAGAGCAAGACTGTCTCAAAACAAAACAAAAACCATACATCAATATTATCGTTTTGATAATAGCTATCAGTGACACAAGCCCTCTTGGATAACATTGAGTATATTCATTTTCAAACACTTCAGCTGGGCACGGTGGCTCATGCCTGTAATCCCAGCACTTGGGGAGGCAGAGGCAGGTGGATCACCTGAGGTCAGGAGTTCAGGACCAGCCTGCCCAACATGGTGAAACCCCCATCTCTACTAAAAAAAACTACAAATATTAAATGGGTATGGTGGCAGGCGCCTGCAATTCCACCTACTCAGGAGGCCGAGGCAAGAGAATCACTTGAACCTGGGAGGCAGGGGTTGCAGTGAGCTGAGATCATGCCACTGCACTCCAGTCTACGTCACAAGAACAAGACTCTGTCTCAAAAAAACAAAACAAAAAAAACCCAATTCAGACAGGGTAGAAAACGATTTCCCTGAAAATGATAAAAAAAAATTTAGTTCTGCTGCCAGGAGTGGCTCATGCCTGTAATCCCAGTACTTGGGGAGGCTAAGGAGGGTGGATCACATGAGGTCAGGAGTTCAAGAGCAGCCTGACCAACATGGTTAAACCCCATCTGGGTGTAGTGGCACATGTCTATAATCCCAGCCACTTGGGAGGCTGAGGCAAGAGAATCACTTGAACCCCAGAGGTAGAGGTTGCAGTAAGTTGAGATCACACCATTTCACTCCAGCCTGGGCAACAAGAGCAAAACTTTGTCTCAAAAAAAAAAAAAAAAAGAAATTTAGTTCTACTACCTGATAATAAATGTAAAATCATTAATACTCAACCAGTATTACTGTGCTTCTAATTTTTTACAGAAGCCATATGGTGGAGAGACTCTGTGAGAGTAAAGAAGGTAGTCAATGTGGAGAAACCTTCAGTTCCAGTCTCTGTGTGACCAAGAAGACTGCCAGAGTAAAATTAGATGAATGTACTGTCTGTGGAAAAGTCTTCATGCGTCGTTCGTCCCTTACTAGACACATGAGGTCTCACACTGGATATGAGCTAATTGAGAAGCCATATAAATGTAAGGAATGTGGGAAAGCCTTTAGTTATCTCAAATCCTTTCAAAGACATGAAAGGAGTCACACTGGAGAAAAACCCTATAAATGTAAACAATGTGGAAAAACCTTCATATATCATCAACCCTTTCAAACACATGAACGGACTCACATTGGAGAAAAACCCTATGAATGTAAGCAATGTGGGAAAGCTCTTAGTTGTCCCAGTTCACTTCGAATTCATGAAAGGATTCATACTGGAGAAAAGCCCTATGAATGTAAAAAATGTGGGAAAGCCTTCAGTTGTCCCAGTTCTATTCGAATACATGAAAGAACTCACACTGGAGAGAAACCCTATGCATGTAAGGAATGTGGGAAAGCCTTCATTTCCCACACAAGTGTTCTAACACACATGATAACGCACAACGGAGATAGACCTTATAAATGCAAGGAATGTGGGAAGGCATTCATTTTTCCCAGTTTTTTACGAGTACATGAAAGAATTCACACTGGAGAAAAACCCTATAAATGTAAACAATGTGGTAAAGCCTTCAGATGTTCCACTTCCATTCAAATTCATGAAAGAACTCATACTGGAGAGAAGCCCTATAAATGTAAAGAATGTGGGAAATCTTTCACTGCACGCCCAGCCTTTCGAGTACACCTCAGAGTCCATACTGGCGAGAAACCCTATAAGTGTAAAGAATGTGGGAAAGCCTTTAGCAGGACCAGTTACTTTCGAATACATGAAAGGACTCACACTGGAGAAAAACCCTACGAATGTAAAAAATGTGGGAAAACCTTCAATTATCCTCTAGATCTGCAAATCCACGAGAGGAATCACACTGGAGAAAAACCCTATGAGTGTAAGGAATGTGCAAAAGCCTTCATTTCTCTTGAAAACTTTCGAAGACACATGATCACACACACTGGAGATGGACCTTATAAATGTAGAGACTGTGGGAAGGCATTCATTTTTCCTAGTGCGTTACGAACACATGAAAGAACTCACACTGGAGAGAAACCCTTTGAATGTAAACAATGCGGAAAAGCCTTTAGTTGTTCCAGTTACATTCAGATCCATGAAAGAACTCACACTGGGGAGAAACCTTATGAATGTAAGGAATGCGGGAAGGCCTTTATTTATCCCACAAGCTTTCAAGGACACATGAGAATGCACACTGGAGAGAAACCCTATAAATGTAAAGAATGTGGGAAGGCCTTTAGTCTTCACAGTTCCTTTCAAAGACATGAAAGAATTCACAGTTGTGAGAAACCTCTTGAATGTAAGCAATGTGGTAAAGGCTTCAGTTTATCCACGTCCTTGCAAAAACATATGAGAATGCACACTCGATAGAAACTCTATATATGTGAGAAATAGGGGAAAGTTTTCACTTCTAACAGATACTTTCAAAGTTATGAAAATTTCCACTGAAGAGAGAAATCCTATAAATGTAAGTAATATAGAAATCGAGATACAGGATAATTCATGTACAGTCAGGTACCACATAATCGTGTTTCAGTTAGCAATGGACCATATATAAGTTGGTGGCCCCTTAAGATTATATAAACAGCTAAAACATTTCTACCACCTGCGATTTAGTAGCAGTAGTAACACCACAGCACAGCACATTAAGTGTTTATGGTGATACTTCTGTAAACCTGTTGCATTTCCAGTTATATAAAAGTACAACAGCTGGGTCTGGTGGCTCACACCTGTAATCCTAACACTGGAAGACTAAGGCAGTAGGATTACTTGATGCTGGGAGTTTGTGACTAGCCTGGTCAACATAGACCCCCATCTCTACAAACAATAAAAACATTTTCTAGGTATGGTAGCACGCCCTGTAGTTCCAGCTACGTGGAAGGCTGGGGCAGGAGAATTGCCTGAGCCCAGGAGTTTGAGGCTATAGTGGAACAAGATCACAGGATGGCAGTCCAGCATGGGTGATAGAATGAGACTCTGTATAAAAAAAAAAAAAAAAAAGGCTAGATTCGGTGGCTCACACCTATAATCCCAGCACTCCGGGAGGCTGAGGTGGGAGGATCACTTGAGGTCAGGAGTTCAAGACCAGCCTGGTCAAATGATGCAACCTTGTCTCCATTAGAAATATGAAAATTAGCTAGGTGTAGTGGTGCCCCTGTAGTCCCAGCTACTTGGGAGGCTGAGGCAGGAGAGAATCGCTTGAACTCGCAAGGTGGAGGTTGCAGTGAGCCGAGATCCGCTACTGCACTCTAGCCTGGGCGACACAGCGAGACTCCATCTCAAAAAAAAAAACTACACAGCACATAGCATTATGTGCAATATATACTTGATAATAAATGGCTATATTACTGGTTTATATATCTACAATATTGTTTTAGAATGTATTCCTATTTTTTTAACAGTTAACTGTAAGACAGTCTCAGGCAGGTCCTTAAGGAGATATTCCAGAAAAAAAGGGATTGTTATGATAGGAGATGACAGCTGCATGTGTGTGAGTGCCCCTGAATGTCTTCCGGCGGGACAAAATGTGGAGGTGGAAGACAGTGATACTGATGATCCTCACCCTGTGTAGTCCTAGACTAATGTGTGTTTGTGTCTTAGTCTTTAATAAAAATAAATAGAAAAAAACTTACAGAATATGGACAAAATATTTTTGTACAGCTGTACGATGTGTTTCAAGCTAAATTATGACAAAGTTTTTTTTAAAAGTTTATAAAGAAAATAACGTACAGTAAGTTAAGGTTTAATATTGAGGAAAAGGTGTTTTTAATGAATGTAGTGTAACCTAAGTGTACAATGTTTATAAATTCTGCAGTAGTGTACAGTAACATCCTAGAACCTCACATTCACTCACCATTCACTCACTCACCAGAGCAACTTCCAGTCCTGCAAGCTGTGTTCATGGTAAGCATCCTATGCAGGTGCATCTTTTTTTGTCTTTTATACTGCATTTTTACTTTTGTGTATTTTATATGTTTAGACTCCTACTTAACATTTTGTTACAATTTCCCGCAGTGTTCAGTACAATAATATGTTGTACAGGTTTATAGCCTAGCAGCAATAGGCTGTACCATACAATCCAGATGTGTTGTAGCTGTACCATCTAGATCTGTGTAAATCCACTTTGTGATGTTTGTACCATGAGGAAATCACTTAACACATTTCTTGGAACATGATTAAGCAATTTCTGACTATATGATGCTTCAGAAAATTCACACCATGAAAGACATGTTATAAAAGTTAAGGCCAGGCATGGCGGCTCACACCTGTAATCCCAGCACTTTGGGAGACCGAGGTGGGCAGATCTCCTGAGGTCAGGAGTTTGAGACCAGCCTGGCCAACATGGTGAAACCCCATCTCTGCTAAAAATAGAAAAATTAGCTGGGTGTGGTGGCATGCGCCTGTAATCCCAGCTACTTGGGAGGCTGAGGCAGCAGAATCATTTGAACCTGGGAGGCGGAGGCTGCAGTGAGCCAAGATTGCCCCACTGCAGTCCAACCTGGGCAACACAGCAAGACTCCGTCTCACACACCAAAAAAAAGTTAAAAGTATTTTTTATCAGTGACTCATTCTTCAAGTACATGTCTGGACTATGTATGAATTGTGACTTATTTTGCAAGAAATCTTGGAAGCAGGATAATTCTGTAAGAACTCTTTAAGCAGTAGTCAAAAGTTTAAAAGGTTGTGTTTTCTCATTAAATCAATTAGTAAAACTTTTCTATTTCTCTTGATGTCTTGATTTATGGGTAAATTGAAGTGTATTTTTTTCTTGTACTTAAAGACCAGTGTTAGAAGTGTATTTTTAATATACAATTTGTTTTAATTTGTATATTATTTTTCAGTTGTTTTCTGAATAAACAGACTATTGAATACTGATACATTGGTAATTGTAGGATTTTTCCTATGGGCCTCGTGTGGAAGACGGTGCATATATTACCCATTATATATTTATTTTACCTTTCTTTCTTTTGCAAAAAACTACTTTTTAAATTTCTTGGCCAGATATGGTGGCTCACTCCTTTGCAATCCCAGCACTTTGGGAAGGTAGTTTGAGACCAGATACGATGGTCTTGGCCAGATGCAGTGGCTCACTCCTTTGTAATTCCAGCACTTAAGGTCAGGATTTCGAAACCAGCCTCACCAATATGGTGAAACCCTGCCTCTACTAAAAATACAAAAATTAGCTGGGCATGTTGGAGGGCACCTATAATCCCAGCTATTCAGGAGGGTGAGGCAGGAGAATTGCTTGAACCTGGGAGGCAGAGATTGCAGTGAGCTGAGATCATGCCACTGCACTCCAGCCTGGGCGACAGAATGAGACTCCATATCAAAAAAATTAATTAAAACATAATAAATTACTATCAGCTAGAATGCCCTTATTCCATTTTCCTTTTTTTAAAAACATCTGGTATAAGTTGGTAAGTATGTGAAGTTTATCATACAGTCTTATGTGAATTATTCTTTTCACCTTTTGTTCTTTGTAATTCTAGCTGGGATTTGGATAGCAGAGTTTGAATTCAGGAGGGACATCTGTGATAGGATAATAAAATCTAGAGCTGGACATGGCTCTCCTGCTACCTGTCAACACAGGTAAATTTCGTAGAATCTGTTCCCTTTATAGGTCCGTGTTCAGATTCACTAATAGCCTCACTTGCATGAGATCTTCCAGGAAGAAGTGAAGAAGACATAAGTCAGGTATTGGAACCCTACCATACAAGGAGACAGTGCTTCCTGCTTATTTTCCCGGTTATTTTCTCTGCTAATCAAAAGTACGCTGAAAACACACTCAGCTACTTGACTTCCATTCTCAGGAGATGTGTTGGTTTCCACAGTTGTCTCCACAAGCTCCACATCAAAGATCCATCTACAGTTTGGATTTTCCTTCTAGCCTTAGTGTGTGCCCTGGGCATTTAATTCAGACTATCATGGTTGGCAATGTTCGCTGAAGTTCTGTCTTCCCTCTCTGAGGTTTAATTTTTATGGTTCTTAGTGTATTAATGCCATTAGGGACTATGTATTCCTGATAGTGAATGAGATTCACTATGTATTCCTGATTCCCTAATGGCATTAACAGAACAGCTACAGTGAGACAGTCAAAAGAAACTGCATGGGAGTTTGTTCCCCTCCTGTGTTACAAAGTGACTACTCTTCCCCCATCCTTCCATTTGAGAATAATCACCTTTGGACAAATGGTGGGTGTTTCCAACTATTGCTGAATGTTCTCCCTCAGTATATTTTCATTTATGTTTGGTTGTATGCACCTAAAAATAATGCATTTTTTTGTGAGGTAAAAGCTTCTTAGATATTTCTTAGAAATATTTTGTTAACTGTTTCCAAACCACATGTATACTACCAAATATTATCATTGGCTGGGTGCAGTGGCAGTGGTTCACTGCTATAATCCCAACAATTTGGGAGGCTGAGGCAGGAGGATTGCTTGAGGCCTGGAGTTGGAGACCAGCCTGGGCAACATAGCAAGACCCCATCTCTCTTTTTTTTTTTTTGGAAATAGAGTTTCACTCTTGTTGCCCAGGCTGGAGTGCAATGGCATGATCTCAGCTCACTGCAACCTCCCCCTCCCGGGTTCAAGCAATTCTCCTGTCTGAGCCTCCTGAGTAGCTGGGATTACAGTCATGAACCACCATGCCCGGCCAACCCCGTCTCTATTAAATCAAAAATACATAATTATACTGTCTTTTCTGTTTCCTGAAAGGCTATATTAAAATATCCCATTACAGTCATGAATATTCAGATCAACTTTGTCATTTTATCAAGATACGTTCTGACTCAATATTAGCATGTGCATTAAAATTCTGGTATTTTTCCCTGAGACATTTTTTATTCTTATACTTACACATTTTGTCATAAAACGAAATTCTCTTCATGATAGCAGTGGCATTTTCAGTGCTCTATGGCCAGCAATCACCAGGGTCACACCTGTATTCAAAATTAATTACAGCAATACAGTAGTCAGTTCTGAGCCAACATTTTGCTTTCTGTGGTTTTAGTCATGATCAAACACAGTCCAAGACACTTAATGGAAATTTCCAGAAATAAGAGTTTCATGAATTTTATTTATTTGTTTATTTTGAGGCAATCTCACTCTGTCATCTAGGCTGGAGTGCAATGGCACAATCTCAGCTCACTGAAACCTCTGCCTCCCGGGTTCAAGCAATTCTCTCTCAGCCTCCCGAGTAGCTGGGATTACAGGTGCCTGCCACCATGCCCAGCTAATTTTTGTATTTTTAGTAGAGACAGGGTTTCACCATGTTAGTCAGGCTGGTCTCAAACTCCTGACCTCAGGTGATCCACTCACCTCAGCCTCCCAAAGTGTGAGGATTCTCCCCATCTTACACATGAAAAAACCTAAGCACAGACAGCACAGGGTCTTTCCCAAACTCATATAACTCAGAATCATGGAATCTCAAAGTTTTAAAGTTCTAGTGTGTTGCACCACCTGTCAAACTTTTTTTTTTTTTTTGAGATCAGGTCTTGCTCTGTCACCCAGGCTAGATTGCAGTGGTGCAATCACAGCTCACTGCTGTCTTGACTTCCAGGGAGGGATCCTGCCTCAGCCTCCCAAGTAGCTAGGACTACAGGTGCATACCTGCATAAGCAGACAGAAAATTTGAATGAGGCCATGCTAGGTGCCTTACGCCTGTCATCTCAACAGATTGAGAGGCCAAGATGGGAGGATGGTTTGTGCCCAGAAGTTCCACATGACAGTGATTGCACCACTGCAGAGCAACCTGGGTGACAGCGAGACTCAGTGGTGTTAAAAAAAGAAAAAGCAAGAGACATGAGAGAGAAGGAAGGAAGGGAGGGAAGGAGAAAAAAGAAAAACAGAACTGAGACCCCATCTCTACAAAATTTAAAAAATTAGCTGGGTGTGGTGGTGCACACCTGTGATTCCAGCTATTCCGGAGGCTGAGGTGGGAGGATGGCTTGAGCCCAAGAGTTTGAGGATACAGTGAGCCATGATCATGTCACTACACTCAAGCCTGGGTGATAGAGTTCATGTCAGCCATGCTCCAGAACAGGCATGAATGCTATGCATATCATAGCCTATAATTTGTACTGTGACATTAACGTTGTGTTGATCTAAAGCAGAATTGATGAGTACTTGTTCTTACACTAGGGACAATAAAGTATGTGGAGTCTTAAATAAGGAAAAAGGAATCAGGCTGGCTGGAGCAGGGGAAGCAAAAAGAGAAGGCAGATAAGCTGTAAGTCTGCCTTTCTTTTTTTGAAATGGAGTCTTGCTCTGTTGCCCAGGCTGGAGTGCCGTGGTGCAATCTCAGCTCACTGCAACCTCCACCTCCTGGGTTCAAGCTATTCTCCTGCCTCAGCCTCCTGAGTAGCTGAGACTATAGGCCTGTGCCACCATGCCTGGCTAATTTTTATATTTTTAGTAGAAACAGGGTTTCACCATGCTGGCCAGGCTAGTCTCAAACTCCTGACCTCATAATCTGCTCACCTCAGCCTCTCAAAGTGCTGGGATTACAGGCATGAGCCACAGTGCCCAGCCAAGTCTGCCTTTCTTTATGCTCCAGGACACACAGCCCTCCTGCACAAATAACACAATATTCCTGTGCCCAGCAACCACCAAACCCTTCGCTGATACAAAAAAAAAAAAAAAAAATCAAGTTGGCTGGGTGCAGTGGCTCACATTTGTAATCCCAGTACTTTGGGGGAACAAGGCAGCCAGATCACTAGAGGCCAGAAGTTCGAGACAAGCCTGAACAATATGGCGAAACCCTGTCTCTACTGAAAATACAAAAATTAGCTGGGCATGGTGGAGTATGCTTGTAATCACAGCTACTTGGGAGGCTGAGGAATGAGACTTGCTTGAATCCGGGAGGCTGAGGTTGCAGTGAACTGAGATCACACCACTGCACTCCAGCCTAGGTGACGGCAAGATTCTGTCAAAAAAGGAACGGAAGGGGAGAGGAAAGAAGGGGAGGAGAGGGGAGGGTATGGGGAGAGGAGGGGAGGAAAGAGAGGAGGGAAGGGGAGGGAGGAGGGAAGGGGAGGGGAGGGAGGAGGGAAGGGGAAGGGAGGGAGAGGGGAGGAGAGGAGAAAAGGAAGGGAAAGGGAGGGGAGGAAAGGGAGGAGGGAAGGAAGAGAAGGGAAGGGGAGGGGAGGGAAGGGGGAGGGAGGGAGGATGCAAGTTAGCTCCCTGCAACCTTGGAATTTTCAGTACTGCACAAAGCCCTGTTCAGCACACAGCACAGCACCATTCTATGAAATCCCCAGCAAGCCTTTGTCTCCTTGCAGTCAGCTTCTCTCTGGCTGTGCTGCATGTTGCAACCCTGCAATGTGTTTTCATACTTTTTTTTTTTTTTTTTTT